CAGATCCTGAGGAAAGACAGAAGAAATAGGGGGGGTGGAGGAGTGGCACTGCTGATCAAAAACTGATGGAATTTTGATGAGCTGGAGAGAGGAGACAGCAGAGAAGCAAGCGATTACATAGCAGGAATGCTTCACTGTGGAGGTCCCAAAGTGGTAATTGCAGTGATGTATAACCCACCACAGAACAGCAGGAGGCCAAGGCAAGAGTATGATGAGAGCAATAGAGCGATGGTTGACACACTGGCTGCAGTGGCCAGAAGAGCTCATGCATGCAGGGCAAAGCTCCTGATCATGGGTGACTTTAACCATAAGGAAATCGATTGGGAGAACTTGGAGCCACATGGGAGCCAAGATACATGGAGGGCTAAGATGATGGAGGTGGTACTGGAAAACTTCATGTACCAACACGTAAGGGACACTACAAGAGAGAGAGGAGAGGATGAACCAGCAAGACTGGACTTAGTATTCACCTTGAGGACATCACATACGAAAGACCCCTTGGGGCCAGCGATCATATGGTTTTAAGCTTTGAATACACAGTAGAGCTACAAGCGGAAGGGGAAGCAGGAAGGCCAGGGCGAATGAAGCCAAACTACAAGAAAGGGGACTACATGGAAATGAGGAACTTCCTGAATGGGGTTCAGTAGGACAGAGAACTGGCAGGAAAGCCAGTTAATGAGATGATGGAATATGTAACAACCATGTGCAAGGAGGCTGAGGAGAGGTTTGTATCCAAGGGTAACAGGAATAATGAAAAAGCCAGGATGAGCCAATGGTTCACACAAAGGTGCAGGGAGGCAAAAACCAAGTGTGCTAGGGAATGGAAGAAATATAGAAGGCAAAGGACCCAGGAGAATAAGAAGAGCAGTCGTAGAGCCAGAAATGAATATGCACAGATAAGAAGGGAGGCCCAACGACAACATGAAAACGACATAGCAGTGAAAGCCAAATCTGACCCGAAGCTGTTAAACAGCCACATCAGGAGAAAAACAACAGTCAAGGACTAGGTAATCAGGCTAAGGAAGGAAGGAGGAGAGACAACAAATGACCGTGAAGTATGCGAAGAACTCAACAAGAGATTCAAAGAAGTGTTTACAGAGGAGACAGAAGGGGCTCCAGAAAGACGGAGAGGTAAGGTACACCACCAAGTGCTGGACACAGTACACGCAACCAAGGAAGAAGTGAAGAGGCTTCTGAGTGAGCTAGATACCTCAAAGGCAATGGAGCTGGATAACATCTCTCCATGGGTCCTGAGAGAGGGAGTAGAGGCGCTATGTGTACCCCTAACAACAATATTCAATACATCTATCGAAACAGGGAGATTGCCTGAGGCATGGAAGACAGCAAATGTAGTCCCAATCTTTAAAAAAGGAGGCAGACATGAAGCACTAAACTACAGACCAGTGTCACTGACATGTATAGTATGCAAAATTATGGAGAAGATTATCAGGAGAAGAGTTGTGGAACACCTAGAAAGGAATGATCTCATCAACAGCAGCCAACACGGTTTCAGGGATGGGAAATCCTGTGTCACAAACCTACTGGAGTTCTATGACATGGTGACAGCAGTAAGACAAGAGAGAGAGGGGTAGGTGGATTGCATTTTCTTGGACTGCAAGAAGGCGTTTGACACAGTTACACACAAGAGATTAGTGAAAAAACTGGAAGACCAAGCAGGGATAACAGGGAAGGCACTACAATGGATCAGGGAATACTTGTCAGGAAGACAGCAGCGAATCATGGTACGTGGCGAGGTGTCAGAGTAGACACCTGTGACCAGTGGGGTCCCACACGGGTCAGTCCTAGGACCAGTGCTGTTTCTGGTATTTGTGAACGACATGACGGATGGAATAGACTCCGAAGTGTCCCTGTTTGCAGATGAGAAGAATTCATTCGATCGAAAACCAGGCAGAACTACGAAGGGATCTGGACAGGCTGCAGACCTGGTCCAGCAATTGACTCCTGGAGTTCAACCCCACCAAGTGCAAAGTCATGAAGATTGGGGAAGGGCAAAGTAGACCGCAGATGGAATACAGTCTAGGGGGCCAGAGACTACAAACCTCACTCAAAGAAAAAGATCTTGGGGTGAGTATAACACCAGGCACATCTCCTGAGGCGCACATCAACCAAATAACTGCTGCAGCATATGGACGCCTAGCAAACCTCAGAACACCATTCTGACATCTTAATAAGGAATCGTTCATGACCCTGTACACCGTGTACGTTAGGCCCATATTGGAGTATGCGGCACCAGTCTGGAACCCACACCTAGCCAAGCACGTAAAGAAACTAGAGAAAGTGCAAAGGTTTGCAACAAGACTAGTCCCAGAGCTAAGAGGTATGTCCTACGAGGAGAGGTTAAGGGAAATCAACCTGACGACACTGGAGGACAGGAGAGATAGGGGGAACATGATAACGACATACAAAATACTGAGAGGAATTGACAAGGTGGACAAAGACAGGATGTTCCAGAGATGGGACACAGCAACAAGGGGACACAGTTGGAAGTTGAAGACAAAGATGAATCACAGGGATGTCAGGAAATATTTCTTAAGCCACAGAGTAGTCAGGAAGTGGAATAGTTTGTGAAACGATGAAGTGGAGGCAGGATTCATACATAGCTTTAAGTAGAGGTATGATAAAGCTCACGGTTCAGGGAGAGTGACCTAGTAGCGAACCAGTGAAGAGACTGGGCCAGGAGCTTGGACTCGGCCCCTGCAACCTCATCTAGGTGAGTACAACTAGGTGAGTACACACACACACACACACACATGATGGAAGGGGTAGACTCAGAAGTGTCCCTGTTCGCAGATGATGTGAAGTTAATGAGGAGAATTAAATCAGTCGAGGATCATGAAGGACTACAGAGACCTGGATAGACTGGATACCTGGTCCAGCAACTGGCTTCTGGAATTCAACCCCACCAAATGCAAAGTCATGAAGATTGGGGAAGGGCAAAAAAGACCACAGACAAAGTATAGGTTAGGTGGCCAAAGACTGCAAACCTCACTTAAGGAGAAAGATTTTGGGGTGAGTATAACACCGAGAACGTCTCCGGAAGCACACATCAACCAAATAACTGCTGCAGCACATGGGCGCCTAGTAAACCTGAGAATAGCGTTCTGATACCTTAGTAAGGAATCGTTGAAGATATTGTACACTGTGTACGTCAGGCCCATACTGAAATACGCAGCACCAGTTGGGAGCCCACACCTGGTCAAGCACGTCAAGAAATTAGAGAAAGTGCAAAGGTTTGCAACAAGGCTAGTTCCGAAGCTCAGGGGAATATCCTACGAAGAAAGGTTGAGTAAAATCGGCCTGACTACACTGAAGGACAGGAGGGTCAGGGTAGACATGATAACAACATACAAAATACTGCGTGGAATAGATAAGGTGGACAGAGACAGGATGTTCGAGAGAGGAGACACAGAAACAAGGGGTCACAATTGGAAGCTGAAGACTCAGACGAGTCAAAGGGATGTAAGGAAGTATTTCTTCAGTCACAGAGTTGTCAGGAAGTGGAATAGTCTAACAAGTGATGTAGTGGAGGCAGGAACCATACATAGCTTTAATTAAGACGAGGTATGACAAAGCTCAGAGAGCAGAGAGAGAGAAAGAGAGGACCTAGTAGCGATCAGTGAAGAGGCGGGGCCAGGAGCTGAGCTTCGGCCCCAGCAACCACAATTAGGTGAGTACAATTAGGTGAGTACACACACACACACACACATGTATATATATATATATATATTATATATATATATATATATATATATATATATATATATATATATTTATATATATATATATATATATATATTATATATGTATATATATATGTATATATATATATATGTGTGTGTATGTGTGTGTGTGTGTGTGTGTGTGTGTGTGTGTGTGTGTGTGTGTGTGTGTGTGTGTGTGAGTATGTATGTATATATATATATATGTATATGTGGTGTGGAAAATTACATTTATCTGGATGTAACTCATAATGTACATACCAGTAAATAACAAAGATAATTATTATTTATCAATTAGACAAGTAGGAATTTGGGACACTTAGGTCGCAAAAAATGTCCCCCTTCGATACCTACCACTGTCATATCCACAAGTTGCTCTGGACCTATTAATTACAAATGAAAAATACATCACCAGGAATGCTGGTAAATATATAAATTTGTGGACTGTATATTAAAATTAAAAAAGGATTATATATACACACATTTATATAACAGAACGAGAATATATCTTAATCATATCACTCACCAATTTGACTGGAGATTAATGTGTCATGTACAGGACCCCCGTCCCCCTTTTGCCTACATTTATGAAAAATTTACTGGCCAGAATTTAAACATAAATTAGACAACTTATCTGAGGTTCTTGGAGTTGTCCTGTCCTGTCGCCTGATATCTCAAGTTATGCAGGAATGCACATCCAACAATTTCACCTCCTATTTGAGAGGTGTCAACCCAATTTTAACCTCTAGAGCACGAAAAATTCTTCCCATTATTCACAACGTCTGTTCAATTCAGACAATAATGGCGACTGTCCTTCTGCGCAGGCGCAGCTTCTTCCCATTTTTTATGACATAAATTTTATTAAATACAGTATGGCCATCTATATACATATAACTATTGTATTTCTGGAAAATATATACAGTATTTTCCACATGTGGGGTCAATATCTTTTGATCATTGTTACTAGAATCTGCTCCTCTCTACCATAGACAAGCGTTCAGAATTTGAATCCGATAGGATGAGGGGTTCTTGAGTTATCAGCGAAGAGAAAATTGAAAAAGAAAAATGGAGGAGGAAAAAAGATTCAGGTAAGCATTTTAAAGGTTTTGTCCTTCTGGAACACCTAAGATCAAACATGCAAGGAAGGTGTGATTTTTTCCAAGTCTTTCACAATGTCTGCAACATGCTCTTATTTTTCTTTAAGTAGCTCACTAAATGATTTAGTGAAAGATGTTTCTGCCTGTATGTCATAAAACTTACGCTTTTACCGGGGTATCGTCGGCCATTTCTAAGAAGAGCAAAAGTATGATTGTCGAGGCAGCGCAGACTGTGTGGTGTCACCTCCACTGTGTTAATAATTGTACTGAACCCAGAAGGTTGTCACAAGCTCAGCACACACGATATTCACCTGTATCAACATTCTCCCTTGACGCTACAGTGGCTTGTCCTCCATACATACATTTAACTTAATTTTATTATAGAAAATATTTGCAGAAATATTAATGATACTGTAATCAGTATGTAGTTACCATAATACTTTTAATGCAGCCAGCGGTACCGTTGCCAGTTAATATTACTGTATATTTTACTTAATTCTGTAAGTATTGTATAGGTAAGACACATATGCAACAGTTAGGTATCTTTATTTCGAAATAAAGATACCTAACTTGCATATGTGTCTTACCTAACAACCTGTCGGTATTTTATACCATTTTAATGTTCAAGTATTGTATAGCCTCGCTCTTGAATGTTTCTTAATAAAATATTAATCATGAAAAATAAAATTATGGACATTTGTTTATGAAAATCTCAGTAGTGTTCTTTGAGTTACTGAAGAACACTGACCAATACCCATAAAAAATTATGTTCCTGCTCCCAGACATAGCATGTCATAACTGTGAAGGAATATTGCTAAACCTACATAATTCACATCTGACGATTGTGATTTCTAAAATTACTTAGGCTTGTCCTGTACTGGTGCATTCTTTAACAGAAGCTTATGACCACAATAGTGGTGCCTTTAAGAGAATCTTCTGATAACAGTGTTCCACTTAACAGAAGCCCTACTTACAGGACATGTGATCTGCGACTCAGTCACTGACTTAACTCAGCCATATCACTTGACTATCTTGTCAGGTATAACCATTTTTAATTCTCAAACAATTATTGTAAACTATCTCTTACTCTCAAGATGCAAGTATCTTTTTCTCTCAAAATCTTACTTAAAAGTATCTTTTTCTCTCAAAATCTTACTTAAAAGTATCTTTTTCTCTCAAAATCTTACTTAAAAGTATCTTTTTCTCTGAAAATCTTACTTAAAAGTATCTTTTCTCTCAAAATCTTACTTAAAAGTATCTTTTTCTCTCAAAATCTTACTTAAAAGTATCTTTTTCTCTCAAAATCTTACTTAAAAGTATCTTTATTTCTCAAAATCTTACTTAAAAGTATCTTTTTCTCTCAAAATCTTACTTAAAAGTATCTTTTTCTCTCAAAATCTTACTTAAAAGTATCTTTTTCTCTCAAAATCTTACTTAAAAGTATCTTTTTCTCTCAAAATCTTACTTAAAAGTATCTTTTTCTCTCAAAATCTTACTTAAAAGTATCTTTTTCTCTCAAAATCTTACTTAAAAGTATCTTTTTCTCTATATCTTCCTTACAAAGGATCTTCTACTCAATTTATTTCAACTTATTTAAAAATCGTGTCTATTAGATCTATTTCGCATTTGTTTTTACTTTGTAAGAACTTAATGTTGACCATATATAAAGCTTCGAAATTCTGGAAATCAGTTTGTATTTTTATTCGCAAAAATGCGCTAAACTTGTATGGGTCATACAGCATTTGACAATAAAATGGTGAGCGAAATTTATAAAAAAAAAATAAAGGTATTCATCTTAAAAGTTTTTTATCTAGTAAAAACTATTTTTGTGCCAAAAATGTCGCTCCTGTCTGTCTCAACTATTGGATCACTGCGACAAGGTCCTAAATGCACTAGAAGACAAAAAGAATGCAGATGTAATATATACAGACTTTGCAAAAGCCTTCGACAAGTGTGACCATGGCATAATAGCGCACAAAATGCGTGCTAAAGGAATAACAGGAAAAGTCGGTCGATGGATCTATAATTTCCTCACTAACAGAACACAGAGAGTAGTCGTCAACAGAGTAAAGTCCGAGGCAGGCACGGTGAAAAGCTCTGTTCCACAAGGCACAGTACTCGCTCCCATCTTGTTCCTCATCCTCATATCCGACATAGACAAGGATGTCAGCCACAGCACCGTGTCTTCCTTTGCAGATAACACCCGAATCTGCATGACAGTGTCTTCCATTGCAGACACTGCAAGAATCCAGGCGGACATCAACCAAATCTTTCAGTGGGCTGCAGAAAACAATATGAAGTTCAACGATGAGAAATTTCAATTACTCAGATATGGTAAACATGAGGAAATTAAATCTTCATCAGAGTACAAAACAAATTCTGGCCACAAAATAGAGAGAAACACCAACGTCAAAGACCTGGGAGTGATTATGTCGGAGGATCTCACCTTCAAGGACCATAACATTG